TAAAACTGTTTTCAAAGAATTAGAAAATGAGCCTTGTTGGAGTATGTATATCAATGGGGATGGGATTAGAAGTTTTAAATGTCATTTCAAATGCATTCCCAGGAAGTGTTGTCTCTCTGCTTCCTGTTTGTAGATCTAGATATAAGTTCTCAACTACTGCTTCACTCCCATGCCTGCTAACATGTTCCTGGCATGATGACCATGGACTCTAACTTCTGGAACAGTGAAAACCAAGTTAAACACTTTCTTTTATAAGCTTCCTTGGTTGAAGAATCTATCAAAGCAATCGAAAAGTAACTATGACATCAATTATTGGGATGGTATTCCTAAACAGAGACTAAACATTAACTATGTAAATTTATCCACACTATTAATGATTTCCTAATGCTCCCTAATTTTATGTGAGCTATATACTATTGCAAAGAAAAATAGTAGAACTGAGATACTAACCACAGGCCAGCACCAGTGAGCAGCCCGTCAATATGCTAAAGTTATACCAGATACCGAAGATCACAAGACTGCTTACTAACCTCAAAGCTATGGACAACTGAAAGAGCCTTCTTAATATTTTTTTTCATATGTATAAACTCAATAACTTTAAGTAATAGAGGATAGAAAGTCCATATACAAGACAACTGTTTTATTGACTCCCTAACAAAAGACAATATTACAACAGGAAAACCAAGTCTCTGGAGCCCAGAAAAGATCCATCAGTGTGAACCACCATGTCTCCAATGATCTATACATTCAAAACCCTCAGCTCAGATAGTAAAGGAAAGTAGAAAATAAGGACAGTTTATTTAGTCCTCAATAACCCCATCCAGCTCCCTTTTGATGAAATAAACGTTATCATTGATAAGCCTCAGATATACTTGAGCCCTTTGAGCAAAAGATGCAGTGTCATCAGAACAAAAATACTTTGTCATGTGTGCTCTATTTTTTAGAGATTTGCACATGTCCTTTAGTTGTAGGTTAAATTCTTAAATTTAAATTGAAGATTTTGTTATTGCCAGTGAACATTAACAATTACTTAAGGAGTAGTTATAGACAAAAACTTGATCGTGGACTTTTTAACAACATTAGTGGTAATCACTTATTGAAACAAGTTAAAAATGAGATCTATGTAATTTTTGAAATATAAATTTAATTCTGAATACAGCTTAAAGTTTCAGTTTAAATGTAAAATCTTGACTTTTTTCTATGGTGTACTAAAATTCTCATAGCCATGTGAATTTCTTTTCCTATGTTTTTATTGTACTTTTTCCAATGAACAATACTTAAAGGTCTCTCATATTGTCTCCTTGAAGTCACTTTAATTAACACAGATACTTCAGTTTGATGAAAGTATTACATTATATGTTCCCGAGTTCTTCATTGATTTATAAATTCTTTACTCACTTAACACAAGATAAAGGTGTTTTTTAATTAATTGAACTTATGGGACATAAAACTTTAATATATGTTTTGAGCTAATGACTCAGTTTCCTCTTTATTATCTCAATATATATGAAAGTGTGAGATAGGAGATTACTTTTTGGTCTAGCTCTTGGACAAAGCAATGATACTTCCCAAATGCTTCCATTGAGGAAAATTGTGTAATTAATATCACACTCCAATTGTGCTTGAAAAAAAAAGCATTCATCCAGTATGTCTACAAAACAGAGTGTATTGAAAGAAGAGGTTTTAAACTTTAATTAATTTTAATTCTCCTCCCCCTCTATTTCCCTCCTCAACCTCTGTCTCTGTCTCTGTCTCTCTCCTCTCTCTCTCTCTCTCTCTCTCTCTCTCTCTCTCTCTCTCTCTCTCTCTCTCTCGGTGTATGTGTAGGGGTGTGTGTGTGTGTATGTGTGTGTGTGTATATATGTGTGTGAATGCCTGTGTTTGTCTGTCTCTCTGTCTGTCTGTGTTAGAGACTGAACTCGGGTCTCTTGCACAGTAGACATGAGACCCCTTATCTCATTTTAAGTTCTTATAAACATTCCTTAAATATACCACACTGGTTCTATTTAGTAATTTTTAAGTGTCTTGACTTCTGCTAAAATCTTAGATGAATTTAAGCTTTAATTTTCTTCCTAAAACATAGGAATTAAAAACATTGCTAAAATTTTACTCTAAATGATCTTTAAAGGAAGAAGACTTTCTTGTGTTATAAAATTTTTCTTGTATAGGTAAAAAAGGCAAGGAATATAATAGAATAAAAGTTATCATGCAAATCAACAGGGTAAAGTAGCCAAAAATATTCAATGTTTTCCTTTATTAATAATACTCATGTTCATCTTTCCTTTAGTTTCATTCTTTCCCTTGATTTTTACTGAGGAAATTGTTACCAGGGGTGTGTTCTGTTCCTCATCTTTAAAGATTTACTACAATCTAATATATATATATATATATATATATATATATATATATATATATATATATATAATGAAATGTTAGTTCTTGATATTCAATTAAAATTTATATATATATATATAGTTCTAAATATAATTCAAATGAGGGCACAGGTGAAACTTCAAAGGGTTACTTGTAAAATAATATTAGTTTTACAGGAAAAGAAATAAGAATTAATTCCACTACTAAATTATCTCTGATAATTAATTATGCAGAAGAATCATGTTTTCCAAATTATATAATTATCTTTTTATGAAAGAAGCATAGAAAGAATTTCCCTAAGTTACATTGTGTCTAGGAGAAGAGTCTGTGATGTCCTTGTATGTTTGCCTTTCTCTCTTCTGAGCACAGAAACAGATCCTTTTAGATAGGAAGCTCAAAGGGAACATTAGAGATAGCTTCTATAAGACAGAACCCATATTTCAAACAATGCCTATAACCATGTGCTTGCACCAAAAAATTAGTTGAAAATATCAGCCCCTTTGCACAGATAACAATGCTATGGAATGATTTGCCCCAGTGGAAAGAAGCTGAGAAGACACCAGGTTTTCGGGTGGTCTGCAGAAGATTGCTCTGAGTGCTGAACAGAAGCCAAACTGGCAACTCTCATTTCATTTTCACCAAACAGCAACAGGTATATAAAGGTAAAACGTTATCCTGGTTCTTTTTATCTCCCTGCCTGCTCAAAGTGATGTTCATAAAATGTAACTCTTTTCCTACCATAGCTACTCCAAACTATGACTTAATTTTTTAAAATAAATCAGTTACATTTTATGTGTTGCATATGTGAAAATGCATATTTTAGTGTGTGTGTGTGTGTGTGTGTGTGTGTGTGTGTAATTAAAGTCTTTACATTTTTGTTGGACTTTTCTAGGGAAAGTACATAGAACTCCCTGAGCATGATGTGGTAGACATACTCTGTTTCTATTAAAGTTGAGTGCATGAGTCCTAGAAGATTTACATTTATAGTAGGCATTGTAGCTTGTCACAACGCAAATGCTCACATACTGAACAAAAGTCAGCTGCTTTCTCTTACTGTTAAATCAATTGAACTAAAACCAGAGACCCCTGGGACAGTCAAGATTTCAAATGTATTAGATGTGCCTAAAATTCATTTTAAAATAGTAGTTATGCGATAAATATCTGTCAATATTGGAAGTAGTGTTCAAACACTGCCAATTTTTTTTCAATATTTCTTTTCTCAAGTAAAGGCATGATAAATAGCAATTCTCTCCTAGTACAAAATATCTGTTTGCTTACTTCTGGCTGTACTTAATATCAGTGTTAGCTTAAAGCAGGTACGTGAGAGCTCTGCATTTACAAGAGTAAAGAACATTCATGTAGCAAACATAGTGATGTTCACATTTCATTCATAAAGCAAAACTGAATCCTGCAATAAGAACGAGCACAGTCATTTCCTTTGCTGTATATTCATGCCGAGCATCATCTAGATTTACATTTAAACCACAGTCATATTTCTAGGAAACATTCTGTGAGACTTGCCCTGCCGGTTACTTTACAGAGCCCTGATGGGAGAAATGAATGAGGTATCCAGGATAAGTATTAGCCCAAGCCTCCATTTGTTTTCCTAATCGTGAGAACCTGAGCTAATCGGAGAAGTTAACTCACAGACTAGGAAAGCACTCCTGATTGACTCAGAAAGGCAGTCTCACAAATGTCATTACAACGTTAGAAAAGGAATATGAATCACTCTGCCAATTCTGAAAGCCCTGGCTGTCACAGGGTGGGCTAAGGATGGGACTCAGAGGTCAGAATGATCTCCTGGGGCATTAGCTGAGTTCAAGGCTCTGGGCACAGCAGACATATTCTCATAGGGACTCTATTCAGATCAGGTGTGGGTGACTAGTCCAGGCTATTGGCTCCAGGCAAATAAATGTGGGAGTTTCTAAAGCTGGTCGCTTTTAAAGAGCTCTTTAGAAAACTCCCAAGGGATTCTACAGTTTAACTCTTTCATTGCTGCTCCAATTCCTTCCTGTAACCCCAGTACACACAAGACCAAAGTGTCCTGGGGTAAGTGAGTGTAGAAATAGAATCTGATGAACAGTTTTTACGTAATCAGTAGCATTTCAACTTCTGCGGACTGACGCTGCCAAACAACCTCCCACCCTGAGAGAGCAGGCATTTATAAATGTTACATCTTTATACCTCCTCCCTCAAATTCCTTAATGGGCCATTAGTAAGGAGATCGATCCTAGTTACTTTATAGCCAGGCAACAGCACAGGAACCCTGCTGTGTTTACTAGTGCCAGAAACACCATTCAAAAGTTGAGAAGGTCAAACCAGCTACTTTGCAAACCTTTGGGGGTGAAAAATTGGGGTAAGGTGAGGTGGAAAGGGGGAAGAGAGGGAACCTGGTGTGACCTAACTCAAAAGCATATGTAACAAGAAAATCCCTACTTAAGCTATCTGGAGCGGGGAGGCTGGAGAGTGCTAAGTTCTACAGTGACATGATACAAGCTTTATCACCCCAACTCCCCACCCTCTTCGTGCCTTAAAAACCCTAGCCCCTTCCCCACCTCTGGCGGCCACCGCAAATGCCAGCTCTGGAGCTAACCGCGCGTGGCTGGGGATAGGTGCGCATCACTTACGTCTCGGAATCTGTTCCACTGTCCGACTTCCTTGTCATACTGAGAGATTGTGGTGAGCCATTGTTTTTCATCCAGAAAATTACCGCCGTCCGACCGCCCCCCGGCCACAGCCACCGCCGCGGCAGCTGCAAGAGTCTGGCTGCACCAAGCCGCTGCACACACACACAATAAGGCTGACACCTTGAGCATCTGGGAAGGAGACACAACCAGGGATGGGAAGCGGTGTCAGAGACCGGGTGCGAAGATGGGGGCGCCCCTGGAAGGCATGCATCAGCGAGGACAGGTTGGAGAGAAGGGGAGACGAGCAGGGGCAGGGGTGTCCCCTTCCAGGAGGCTTCACCCCCAAACCAGGGCACTCACACACACGCAGACCCAAGGGAGAAGAAGGGAGTCTAAGGGAGGAAGCCCCAAGCAGCGAGAGTCCCAACGGCCAGATAAAACGCTGGCCGGCCCATCACCTTGTTGCGAGCGGGCACAGAGCTCGCAGCTCCTGATGGAAACGCAGCCAGGCTCTGGCAACTCGCTTCTTGCTGGAGCTGCTGCACGCGTCGCCGTCTCAGCCGTCCACTCAGCTCCCTGCGCCCGGCGCTCCCCCCATCCCACCCTCCCCGCGCCTATCCCTCGCCAGCTCCCCTCGCTTCACCCCTCCCTCCCCCACCTCCTTCCTCCCCTCCTCCTATCCCACCTTCCTCTCCCTGAATCCCAGCTGCAGCAAGTTCCGGATGCGAAGCCTGGCAGGAGCCAGAGGATGCAGTAGGCTCCGCGCTTTGCTTTCTAACCTCTTGCCTCCAGAAAAGGTTCTCATGTTCCAGGCACAGCCAGTTCATTCTCTCTTCTCTTGGATTGAACGCCGGCTGAGCACAGTATCTCCCTCTCTGCTGCTCCTGTTCTTCAATTTCAAGGGTGGTCAAGCAGCCATAAAGAAAGAGATCAGAAGAAAACTTTACGCATCACAGAGTGAGAATCCGTGAGACTTTGCCCTGAACCTGAACTCAGCTCCTTCTTCCTAAAAACCACCATAAGGCCTTGGACAAGCTCTTCAGTGTCTGAAAATGTGTGGTCTGAACTTCTGGATTACTTCAGAGCCAAACTCTGTCTTAAGATTTGGCAAGCAAAGTGTTTGATTTCACCAGCATGCCAGGATCAGTGCACACAACCCATTTCTCCTCTCTAAAATCTCTCCAACAACTGTGGTGTATTCTACAGTCCTTAAAGCAAAGTTAAACTACATAAATAAGCCATCTATGCCAGCCTTCTAAATATACGCAAACAGCTTTGAGGCCCTAGTCAGGATGTCGTACTTCAAAGTTCCACTGATGACAAAAACATTTGCTTGCCCAAATCTATTCTCCATGTACTAAACAGAAGGGAAAATACTAGAATCCACACCCTGTGCAGTGCCCGATGAAGAAATTCTTTTCCTTGTACTTACAGGAAACTGGTTAACTGAGCAGGGTATGTAGATAGTGAGATTTCTAGAAACCAAAAGGCTACAAGAAGCTAGCCATCTATATTCGAATCATACATGGCAAGCTACACCTTCCCAAGCCAAAACCTTCTTAAATTTTTGTATCTTCTAAAATTAGGAAATCTGCATTAGAGCAGTAACAGTAGCTTTGTCCCATATTCTGAATGCTTTGTTCTCCCTCATGCCATAACTTTTAGATCATATTTTAAAGAAATGAAACTGATCGATATTAATTTCTAACTTTAAATACAAAATCCAAGCAAGTGTAAGCTATTAGCATAAATGAAAAAAGTGAAAATTTTAACGTAGAAAATGAAGGGAGAAAGTTATTATAAATCTACAATTGTAATTGACAGAAGTGTTGATTGATACCAAAGATGCACCAAAGAATGTTGTGAACAGTACCATGTAGTATTCCTATATACTATTTCTAGATACTTAGTTTGCTTTTTCACAGACAAGCTCAGCATGTGTTACAGCCTTTCTGAGTTTTCATTTTCTATATCATGAAGACATGGCTGACCTACCCTCCAATGCCTCTTCTCTCTGTCCCCCAACTTCATCTCTCTACTTCAAAATCTGAAGACTTGCATATTGTCCTCTTAATTCAATAAGAAGGTTTCATCATGTTTTAATATGCCTTTTTTTTTTTTACAAAAAAAATCAAGATGATGACCTTAAATGCCAGGTACAATGCTGATATACAGAGAAGTCAGGAATCTTTAAAACAAACTAATCTTCTGAAATTTGTTACCTTTCTCTAAATAAGGGTTATTATGCAGGATCATCCTCAGCATCATCCTTGTTAGCATGAATGAAACATACATAACATGCATGATAACATAGCATGTTAACATAGAATGCCATGTTAATATGTAGAAGCACATTTATTTTATGACACTTTCATGCATACACACACATATGTACATACATATATATGAATTTGTATTACATGTGTATATATAGTTCATTGCCAATTAGAACACATTTATGAAACTTATCAAGCAAGCCTAGCTTTTACTGACAGCTTTCTAAGACACTTAACAGGGTGAAAAAATTGGTGAATGAAAAGCAATGGTAGGGGCTGGTGAGATGGCTCAGCAGTTAAGAGCATGGACTGCTCTTCAGGAGGTCATGTGTTCAAATCCCAGCAACCACATGGTGACTCACAACCATCTGTAATGAGATCTGATGCCCTCATATGGGTGTCTGAAGACAGCTATAGTATACTTTGGGCCAGAGGGAGTCAGGACTGGAGTGAGCAGAGCCCAGAGCTACCCAGGGCTTCCTTTAAAAAAGAAAAAAAAAAAAAAAAGAAAGCAAAGCAATGATAGCTGTGTACATCTTGAAATGAAGCTTCTGAGAATGCCGCATTCCAGATCTAACAGTGGAATACTGTTTCTGGGAAATTATAAGTTTGCTATGCTTAACTCGCCACCTTCTCAGACTTGGCCTTTGCTCTGCTCTGGCTTCTCCTCCCTTCCCCATCACTAGCAGAGCCTCTTAAACATCTGCCCGTCACTGATACTGTCTATCCTCACAGTGAGAATGAAAGTCCACTAAGTGTGGTGTTATTAATCACAGCAAACTCTTTCCCTCAGTTCTCTGTATTACTGAGTATCTGGGTCTTCAAAGAGCCTGCTTTCAACATTTAATAGTCCTAGGAGTATTCACACTCCAGTTAACACTGTAGTTATCAGCTAACACCTCTGTGGGGATTAATTGAAAGCTTGCTAGGAGCAAAACACAGCAGGGAACCAGAGGGGAGGGGTAATAAATGGGAGGTAGGATGTCAAGAGGACAGTTAGGAGACCTGCAAGTTGAGGTGGGTGGGGACGGAGGGGAGTACTTCAGGAATTGCTTCCCAGTTTAATGGAGAGCTTGTTTCGATATCAGAGAGCTAAAAATAAAACTCAACCCGGAGTACTACATGGAGAGTGAGGTACATTAAGTGAGAGGGCAGGGACTTGATTTTTGTATCTATGATCACACTTTGCAAAACTATAACCCACAGGAAGGCAAGGCTATCAAGCTCCCAGCCCCTTAGTCTGCCATTCTGACACCTCATTTATATAGATAATGTAAAGCTATTACTGGAGTCACTAAGAATTTAAGGCTTGCATACGTTTTTCTCGAGAATTTTATTCTTTCACTGGTGAATATCTAGTTGCTTAATCTAGAAGTATCTATTCCTGAATATTTCAGTATTTTAAAACTTCATTAAGTCCTCTTCTTCCTTGTGCTTTCTTAACCTTGTTTTTGGATTTACTACGAGTCTTCAAAGGCTGCAACAGCATAGGGTCCACTTCAAATGTGTTTGGATCTGTGAAGAGTTTAAGTGAATACCGTTTGTATAAGGTACACTCAGACACACACAATCTGACATAAAAGTTATTCATTTTTTGTCAGTTACTATTCAAAGATCTATCTGTGGCTTTGTGTAGCTGCCATTAGAACATGTAGGAACAACGCACTTACTCACTGTATTCTTTGTGTCAGGCACAGCCAGGCACTTCATATACCTGGCAGCCTTTGGTCTTAGGATCTGCCCTAGAGCCACCAGTAGTGTTATGGTATTACCTATAAATACAGACTCTTGTGCAGAGATTTTTGAATCCAACAGATAGAGCTACATGGAGGTCATATAAATGTCTAGAGGTAAAACCCAGTTGGCAAAATCAGTTGTTGGAGATATTCTCCTTGAAGGTTACTTTAGGAATCTTGTCCATTCCTTTTTTCTCACTTTATATCGTGTTTACCATGAGATGAGTCTCTTCCTCTGACCCCATTGGGCCCACTATGGGCTGAAACTTCTGAAACCATGAGCCAGACTAGATCATTTCTCCTTTAAGTTGAGTCTTTTATGTGCTGCAGTATTTGTCACAGGAGCAGAGAGCTAACACCACTAGCAAATTCGGAACTTTGATATTTAAGTGTTTGTAAAAGTCTCAAGAATGAATAGGCTTCACTAGATTTTTATTTCTTTCTGTGTAGACACATCTCTGAATCATCCAGTGTTTCTGTTCTTTCATTCTAACGCCTCCTTGCTTTTGCTTTCTCCTTGGTAGTTACTGCTAGTTCAGTATAAGAGAGAACTCACCTGTAATTAAAGTCAAGATGAGGGAATGGTTGATTCAGGAATTCTGCTACTTTGCAGTGAAAGTCACTCTTCCCATGCTACTTTAGATGGTTATTTGTCCACACCTCATTCTCAAGATGACCAAACAGAAGCCGAGAAGACCACGCAGCTGCTTGGTGGAGAAGGGAAGTGGCTAATTGTAGCATTCTCTCCTGAAGTGGGAATGGTTGCTGAACAAACTAGAATCCTTTATATTATTAAAAAGCTGTTGGAAGATGAGGAGTAATGGACGTTAAGGGACTTCTAGAAAGTCAAACATTACCAAGATAGATGGCTTGATGTTAAGTAAAATGTGCTGAAGTCACACTTTGATCATTTCAATATGACAAATGTTGGTGATGGGCCTGGCGCTGTTTGTATTTTGATGTAAATTCCGCTCACCTGGGAAGGGCTGTGGACAAGGAGTTGATTTCTTGTAAACCAATCTCATCATAAATAAAGGACCCAATCACTGGGCGAGTAGGAGGGACTTCCAGGTTGCACAGATGGAGAGAGGAAGCAGGAAAGAGAGATGGCTTTTGGATCGAGGATAGCATAAGGGCAGGATGTAGCTGCTAGTGTCTCCACATTTCATGAAGGATCCGCCAGGATTTGCCACCAGAGGAATTAGATTTATATGGTTTACAAGTTTAGGATTCTAGTTGTTGTGCCAAGAGATTGAGTTACCATTTTTTCTAAACTAGGTTTATGTGGTGTTTTTCTTCATTTAGCGACTCAACTGTATTCAAGAGAGAAAGGTACAGCGGCAAAGAATGAGTTTGCCTGATGTGTACCACAAAGGCCATGGGGGATTTGAAGCACAGGGCTGGTGTGGTAGATCCCACCAAGGGAAATTAGCAGGTTGGGTGGAGAAGTCTTGGGGACCTGGACCAAAGGGTCTGCTGAGATGAGAACACTCCACTGGGGCCTTCTGGCCTGGCAGTGCCTGGCATAGTGCTCATTTTTTAATATTTCCCACAACAGACCAATATTTGGTCAACAGT